AGAGAAAGAGAAAGAAAGAAAGAGAGAGAAAGAAAGAGAGAGAGAGAGAGAGAGACCCATACAAATTCCAGAGGAAGAACAGAAGTGAATGAATTGCATTCTCGGCCGCACCGCCCTCTCTCCTTTTTGCAGAAGAAGAAGAAGAAGGGAAGGCGAAGGAAGAAGCGCGAGGGGGCCGGGTTGGAAGACCTTCCCTGGGCTGGAAGGAAGAAGGGGGGTCAGGAGACCCAGGCGCTGGGAGGGGAGGAGACGGCTCGGCAAGCCCTGCTCTTCCTCCTCCTCCTCCTCCTCCTCCTCCTCGGATCGGGGGCCCATAAAGCCGCTGCAGAGCCGGGGCAGCCGGCAGAGGAAGGGTTAAGCCGGATCTGCTCGGACCGATCCCTTCCCTGCGAGGCTGCGGGACGGACTGCAGCAGGCAGGCAGGCAGGCAGGCAGGCAGAAGGAGTCGGGCGGCCGCGCCTCCCCCGCACAGCGCCAGCTTCTCAGCCTCCGCTCGGTCCTTCGGATGCTTTGCACGCCTGCTCTCTGGTTGAAGGGCACGAGCCGGCGGTCCCTTTCGCTCTCCACTTGGGCCGCCTCTCTGGCAGAGCCGCCTTGCCTGGAATAATTCCCGGAGCGCCTCTTGAGGATGGCCACCAAGATCGACAAAGAAGCCTGCCGAAGGGCCTACAACCTGGTGCGGGATGACAGCACGGGGGTCAACTGGTAAGGAGCCCAGCGGGCGTCGCAGCTCGCCCGGGGCCAGGGGGGTGGTGGTGAGAGGGGGTTGAAGCGAAAGGGGCGGAGGAGAGCGAGCCGGGGGAAGAGGATCTGTCCACGGGGGGACCTTTCAACGGGATTCGCTTTGCTTTTGGGGAGCGGATGGATGGGGTGGGAGTCAAGGATGCCTTGCCTTCTCAGGTTAGCAGAAGGGAGAGGACGATGGGCCTTGGAATCCATGAGGCTTGTCTTCCCAAGTTAGCACAAGGGGGACAAGGGGGGGGAGGATGGGCCTTGGAACTCATAGTGTTTGTCTTCCCAAGCGGGGGCAAAGGGGGGAGGGGGGGCGGTGGAGAAGGAGGAGGAGGAGGAGGAGGAGGAGGAGGAGGAGGAGGAGGAGAAAAAATCCATTCGGCCCTGTGGACTCTTGGTCATTCTAAGGGCCAGGTCTTTCCACCTCTTCCAATCTTGCACTGCTTTCTTTAAGTGTCTTTCTAAGCTAGCACAATGGGGGAGGATGATGGGCCTTGGAAGCCATTAGAAGCCACGCCTATCTTCCCATGCTAGCCCAAAAGGGGATGATGGGCCTTGGGCCGTTGTGAGGTCTTCGTGGTGGGGGGGGGGGTAAGATTTCTTCCAGGTTGGCTGAGTTGGCAGCCAGCTCTCCTCTTTTGGTTGGAAGCCCAAACTGTTCCACTTGCAAGGAAGGAACCTCACCTTATGGTGAGAGATTTTGCAAAGGACATTTGGTTATGACATCATCTCCTTTTGGGAGCCCCCAGGCTCCTTCTTCTAAGCTTCTGGGGCAGGCGGGAAGTGGGCCATCTCACTCTGCAAAAACTTGGGTGGGTCTGGCTGGGGAGGTGCAAGACTTCTGCAACCTTAGAGACAAACCATCTGAATAATTCTTCTCCTTTCTCCCTCCCCCTCCCCCTCCTTCTCCTCTTCCTTCTTCTCCTTTTTCTTCTCCTTTCTCTCTCCTCCTCCTCCTCCTTCCTTTCTCCCCCCTCCTCCTCCTCCTTCCTCTTCTTCTTTCTTCTCCTCCTCCTCCTCCTCCTCCATCTTCTTCTTCCCCTTCTCCTCCTTCTCTTCCTTCCCACTTTCCCAAAGGGTGACATTTAAGTACGACGGCTCCACCATCATCCCAGGACACAACGGGGTGGATTACGAAGAATTTATAGGGCAGTGTACAGGTGAGCTCTCTTTTTCTCTCTTCCACCAACCCACATCCCTCGTGTTGCCAAGGGGAAGGGAGGAAAGGCCAAACAGCTCGAAATGTGCTTTTTTTTTGTTTTGTTTTAAACACTCCCCAACACCCGCTTCCTCCCAAAAAGGTTTGAAAAGCCCTGAACTGTAATGATGTCATCCATCTCCCAGGCCTTTTGTTTGGGAGATTCTCAGGGCTCCCTTCAAAGAAAAAAACACAGATGGTTCAGGCGCTGCTTTTATTCCTTTCAACCAGAGGCCCAGATTCTAGCAAGTTGCCCAGGAATTCCTTCTCTTGCTCAACGGCGACCTTTGAAACTGGTTTTAATTCATGCCCAAACGCAGCTTTGTCTCCGACATCGGCAATCTTTTGCAAGCAACGTTAAGAAACGCAGCGCAAAGCCCAGCGTGGTGTTTATTGTGGCTGGAAGAGGACGCATTTCTAGGAGCATCGTCTGCTTTAAGCTGGCAGAAATTCTCTCTCTGCCTCTTAAAGGCCCAGCATGTCTGAACACGGACACCCAGCTAAAGGACTAATGGAGGGCTGCCTACCAACGTTCAAACGTTCTTGGGCGTGGACGGAAAGGCAGATCCAGAAAACCGAGTCTTTACCAGCACAACTTAGCACTCGTCCACCTTCACCCAAGCAAAGGTCTGGGTTGACATGCTTGTGAGGTCACTTCCAAGCAACTGGAAAACCTTGCAACCTGCATATTTATTTACTTAGTTACTTAATTTCTCTTGATTTCTAAGAGTGGCCCATTTTGGCATGAATTCAAGCCAAAAAGGGGAAGAAAAAAAGGAAAACCCAACGCATTAGGACTTTTGAGCCATGTGAATAGGTTGTGTTTATGTGGTTGTGGCCATCCCCTTGACTTATTTTTGAATCCCTTTCTCTGGACACCTCTGAGCCCAAAGTCTACAGCAGGACTTCTCAACCATGTTAAGGTGTGTGGACTTCAACTCCCAGAATTCCCCAGCCAGCCATGAATTAAAGCAAAGAACAAAGAGAAAAAAAGCACCCATTTTTCAGGAGAAATTGTGAAAGGGGCTGTTGGAGAGATAGATGTCATAGATCCATATGAATGGGTTGTTGGGTTTGGTTTTTTTTTTTAAAGCATTTCAAAGCCTCCACTCCTTCCTTTCTTTTCTTCTGTCCTGTTTTCTTTTGCTTTCAGCTCACAGAAGTGAGCTTGCAGCAGGAAACATCATGAAATGGTTTCATGTCTTGCTTTTCATCTTCTGTTCCTGCCACCCTGTGTTGTCTCCTCTTTCATGTTTTACTTTTAAAGGGCCAGCCTGGGAAAACAAGGCTATGTACGGGAGGGAGGAAGGGAGGGAGAGAGGAAAGGAGGGAGGAAGAGGAGTCCTCCTTATGGTAATGATTGTGGTTGAGGTTCTCATTGACAAGCCATTCCTGTCTGTCTGCAAATCATATTTTTTCCCCTTTGCTTTTTGCCTTTGCAAAGAAAAAATAAATCAATTTATTTGGGCTGTGGGACAGATGCTCTTTTAGCTTTTCCTTCTGCTGCTGCCCCTGCTGCTTCCAATTTCCGGTTTGCTTGGAATTCTGATTTAATTTTGCACAAAGGAAAGTTCCTGAGGGTTTTTTTTGGGGGGGGGGCTCCTCTCTGGCCATCCTAGTTCTTTCTCTGAACACACACCATGTACACGCACACAAATCACGCCTGACACACCTCTCCTTCTAGGTACTTCCTTTTTCAGCTTTCAGATCAAGTCCTTTTGGGTTTGAGGATGTTTTAGAGCAGAATTTCTCAATCATGTTAAGATGAGTGGACTTCAACTCCCAGAATGCTGGCCGGGGAATTCTGGGAGTTGGAGTCCACACATCTTAAGATTATCAAGGTTTAGAAACCCTGCTCTAGAATTTGGGCCAGAGGTGTCCTGAGGAAGGGGTTAAAAGAAGTAAAAAAATGCTGGCCATAACTATATAATCAAAAACCCGTTCCTTTTTTACCTGCATTGTGACTTAGTGGTGTGCAAAGCCCCAGATGTTCACAAGTCTTGAAAAAATAAGTAGCAGCAGCCAAAACCACCGAGCTCAGAGAGCACCTAGAACCCCACAATTCAACCCCGAGCTACAAATATCCTCTTCTGTAAGTAGCAAAATGACAGATACGATATAATCCTCAGCCACCAAATAATTCATAGGAGATCCTGAATCCTACCAATGAAAATGCGTTTTGGATGCAACTAGATGAAAACAGGTGAACAACGATGGGAATTAGGTTATTTCTTTGCCAAGCGGGTGACCAATTTGGTAAGCTGACTTTTGCTTCTCCAGCCCTTCCAGTTCACTCCTTTATTTATATTTATTTCTCTCAAGATGACATTCGGTTGTTTGGCTTCATCCGGTTCACCACTGGAGACACCATGAGCAAACGAGTCAAGTTTGCACTGATCACCTGGATAGGGGAGAACGTCAGTGGCCTTCAGAGAGCTAAAACAGGGACCGATAAGACCCTCGTGAAAGAAGTTGTACAGGTAAGTTGAAGTGTTCTATTCAATATTTCTTGTCCCATCAAGAAGGTAAATATTTGTTTTTTGTGAAGTTGTACAGGAAGATAGAAATAAGTTGTTGCTCTCTGAGCTTGGTTATTTCCTTGCAGACATTCCATTACCCAACTAGGTAATGTCATCCGTGCTAGAAGAGAGTGAAATTTGCAAGAATGAAGAGGAGGAGGAGGAGAAAGAGGGAAAGGAGGAAGAGGAAAGGGAGGAGGAGAACTGTGGAGTTCTTGGTGCTCTCTGAAGTTGGTTGTTTCCTTGCAGACATTCCATTACCCAACTAGGTAACATCATCAGTTAGGAGAGAGTAAAGGAGGAGGAGGAGGACTGTGGAGTTCTTAGTACTCTCTGAGCTTGGTTGTTCCTTTGCAAACATTTCATTACCCAACTAGATAACATCATCAGTGCTAAAATGGAGTGAGGTTTGCTCTCAGCTTATAGCAAACCTCACTCCTTACTGGCACTCATAATGTTATCTAGCTGGGTCATGAAACGTCTGCAAAAAAACAACCCAGCTCAGAGAACACATCAAGGACTCCTCGTTTCAACCCTGAGCTACAAATATTCTCTTTTATTGAGACAGGAGAAAGTGTTAATAGGAGACATTCTTGGTTACACCTGGAGATTTGATTTCTAAGCTCCCCGTTTTAATGCAAATCAAGGCACTTGGTTCTAGCGTCCTCAATTACTTATTATGAGTCCACTAATTGGGAGCCAGAGTCCAAAAACTGGGTAGATGGCAAGTTTCCTAACCTTGGACTTAAATCAGAAGTAACGAGGTCAACATCTTCTAGAAATGTTGGACTTCAACTTCAATTAGCCCAGCCGTTGAAACCTGTTTGCAAGGGGTTGTAGCAGTTGCAATAAAAAGAAATTGACTGAATACATTTGATCTACACCAGTGATTCTGAAGTGCTTTGCATTCTTGTCCTTCCACTGGAATGAGGAAGCCAACATCTAAAGGAAAATACCCTCCAAGGCATTCAAATGCCTAATTTAGATGTTCTGATGCTTGTGTGACCCGTAAGGTTGAAAGAAGCTCCGAAGGATGCATGGCTAGCAAACTGCAAATAATCTTCAGTTTCTTTGCTCCTCCCAAGAGACGGAATGAAACGTTTCAAGAGATGTTCGTTGTGGTTCTCCTCCTTGGTCTGTTATGCATATTCCAGCCTTTTGTGTTGTGTTTTTTTTGCCATTGAGGTTGTCAAACCCTCCCAGCTTCCTGGCCCCAAACAAATGGACGTATTTGTTTGTGGGGCTCCTATGCTCTAGAAGGAACACAGAGGGCGTCATTCATCCCCAGGCCATCGCCAAGGTCAACATGGGATGGCAGAGTTGAGTAGGGCAGACTGAAAAGGCCTTGTTTGTCTCGGGGATAGAATTTTAAGAAGATCCAAAAAACGGTTTCAGCAGGAAAAGACAGGACACTCTCTTGTGTATTTCAAGAGGCTCCTCAGTTTAAGAAGCGCTCAAAGTCTGTGAACTACGGTACTGACCACACCTGCTGCTTTTCCTGGCTGGAAAAAGAAAGGAAAATTTCCCCAAATGTGGGACCTTCTACCTGTGTGGAATTACAAGGAGTTTTCCAACTTATGAATGGTCATTTAGTGACTGTTCAAAGCTCTGATGGATGTACCTAGAGGTACTTATGACCCAGATTCGCTGTTGTGGGATGCTGCAAACAGCTCTGACGTGCAGTTATGCCACAAAGAAAACTGTAAAATCAGGTCGGTTATGTGACCATTTACCACCGTCATGAGTTATGACCATGATGGGTGGGCTCCATTACAGTCATAACTTGGGGCCTTATCAGCCCAGCTCTTATAATGGACATGGTTGACGCTGTGGAAGTTCAAATTCAACACCTCTGAAGGACCTCTTACATGCTAACATTTTGGGAAATAACTTTTTTCTATGTGTTCTCATGCAGCCTTCTTGATTACCATGTGATTACTGGCTTGGTTAGGTCCATGTAGTAGTTTAGTTTAGTTTAGTTTAGTTTAGTTTAGTTTAGTTTAGTTTAGTTTAGTTTAGTTTATTATCATTGCACCTCGTACAAAGAAATCAAGCACCACCTTCAGTGCACATCATGACCATGAAAATAAACACAAACACACATCCTTCACACTCCACACATTGAACTGAAAACCCCCGACACTGTACCAACACTGCACTATACAGCAGAATTCAAAAGAGCTACTGCCCTGGGATAGAAGCTGTTTTTCAGCCTATTCGTCCTTGTTTTTATTATCCTGTACCGTCTACCAGATGATAATAGTTCAGAAAAAGGGGGTGCCTAGGATGAGATGGATCTTTAAGGATGTTTTGAAAGTAGCAGTTTCAGGTGAATATTAGAATGGGGAGAGGCATTATTGGCAGCGAAAAGCTACCCCAAACTCACAAAAGAGTTTCTCTGGAACCATCTGTCATGCCCCTGGTGGAGACTGACTCTGAGGGAGAGGAGGAACAGCCGACAGGGAGTGGAAGTGGGGCTCCGGAGGTTGTGGAGGAGGCTGGGGAAGGGCAGAGGCCAGCTGAGCAGTCAAGAGGAGGACCCAGGCCAATCCCTTATCCCAGTGGTCCCCAACCACCGGGCCCCGGACCGGTACCGATCCATGGAGCATTTTTTACTGGGCCGCAAAGAAGTGGGCGCTGCCATCTTGTTTCGACGGCTCTTGAGAAAGTGCTTCCGGGTGAGCTTGTCGGCTGTCGGTTGGAAAGCGGCGTTTGGGTGCTGAATCCTCGCGCCTTAGTTTCGTTGAGGGGGGGGGGGGCTTCGAACGAAGAGCCATCCCGATGGCAGTGGAGTCTCGCGTTAGGAGGAGATTAAGAAAGAGCCCGAAAAGCCCATCGACAAAGGTACAAAGGAGGAGTTGAAGGTGGCGGGGAGAAGTGGGGGACGGTTGGCTGGCCGGTCGCTCGGCTCGCCTTGCCTTGGTCGTGCGTGCTGATGCCGGTACCGGTCCATGGATCATTTTGTGATGCCAGTACCGGGCTGTGGGACAAAAAAGGTTGGGGGCCACTGCCTTATCCATCCTACAGCATGCAGGGAGGAGAGGATAAGGGAGAGGCGTGATCTCTTGATCCTCTTCAAGGGATGCAGGTGTGACAACTGCATAAGAGTTTGGACCTGCGTACTGGCAAACACTGGAAACAAAGCGTGTTTTATTTTGGTCTGAAGTTATCTTGGCTGACGTCCTTCCAACAGACTGTGCCTTGTTATCTCCTTGAATTTGGTAACTATTTCTCCTGGTCCGTTGTGGAAATTTCATCATTGTAGTTTGTTTGGGTTTTTATTTCACCTCTATCTGCTCATTAAGTTTGGACTGTTTTGCTTTCTTTTGAAGACTATTTCTGAGTATGTTTTATCTCCAGCTGAGTATTATTATTGAACAGTGGGGCCAAATTGGAGGCATTAAAGGACATTTATTTACGTTTTGGATTTTGTTATGTTTGTGTTACACTCTGGGTCATCACACCATCATTTTGGAAAGCTTTCAATTCCTGTTTCAAAAGCGCACAGGCCACCGTCGTCCTTCAGCCTCACTCCCTGGGGATGAGGACATCTTATCTATCTGATCCCATCCTTTGCTAAACATATGTTACCTTTTTGTCCCCTTGCAGAATTTCGCCAAAGAGTTTGTGATCAGCGATCACAAGGAACTGGATGAGGATTACATCAAGGGTGAATTGAAGAAAGCTGGAGGGGCGAATTACGATGCTCAAACGGAATAAACCCGGAAGAGGAACAGGCCATGCCTCCTGCAGCCACCCTGAATAGATGTGCCACCGAAGGAGGCGGGAAAGCACAATTTACCTGTGAAAATAAAACTGGAAGATAATTTGAGGCAAGTGTGAGAAGGAAGTTGCTTCATTTAAGGCTTCCCTGAAGCTCATCTCCAGAAATGGACCTTGATTTTGTTTTGTTTTTTTTCATTCCATCCACCACCAGCTCCTTCTCGTGTGTTTTTCTCTCTCTCTCTCCGAGTTCTTCTTTTAACCGCTGTCTTTCTCGTTTTAACCAATATTACATGGGTACCTGGCCTCATAGGAAATTGGCCATAAGTCACGGTGTTGGCTGTAGGGGGCCAGCTGAAGGCTTCTTGAGAGCTTTAGATCTTTCTGTGAACCTTGGTTGATCTAAAAGAGTCTCCCAAGGATGAACCACGGATTCATTCTTGATGGCTGTCTTCCCAAACTGACCAACAAAAAGGGCTTACAACCTGCAGGATGAGTTCCCTGGCCCGTGAATCACAGGCTTTCTTCCCAAAGTTGACTCTGCTGGGTTGGATGAGATTTGCAATCTTCTCCACACCGCAGGAGGGTTTACTTCTAGGTTGGTTTTTTTAAAAAAAAGCACAAAATCGCTGTCTCCCCCCCCCCCCAAATAATTATAGCAAAAGAGCTGTGACCTGAGACACCCCTTCCCCCCACCAGGCCAAATGCATCTCTGTAAAGTTACTACAGGGTTGCGATTGTTATCGGGGTAGAAGAGAGAATGTTAAATACAGGGTGAATGATGAGACGGGTGGTATTTGATTCACTGAAATGAAATCCTATTTAAATCAGGCCAGCCTCTTTGGCTAGGCACCAGCTAGTAGTAGAGGGTGAGCACTGATCTACTATTCAAAACCAGATGTGGGCCTTGATTGAAACAAGTCATGCATTTGTGGGACATAAATTTCCTTTCTCCCACATAAAGCAAACTTATTTACGCAGAGCTCTGTTTCCAGAAGGTTTGGTTCTTCAGTTAGGTGTGTGCCAGATTGTGAGGGGTTTTTCCCCCCCCTACCATTGTGCTTAAAAATAATTTCCTTATGCCCAATGGAACTTTGCCACAAAGAGCTGTGCGGAGTGTTGCAATTTCCAGTTACAATCGTGTGTACGTTTTCCTAGGGGTAAGAAGCGTTGCACACAATGGGATTTCTAAACATGTGTGGGTGGGTGGAAGATCGGAGAGGATTTGGGATGAGTAGTGAATGTGTTTGTTTGCAGCCCCTGCAAATCCACTCATGCTGACATCACTAAAGGTCAAAGAGAAGCTGAAATATTTGGCATGAAACGGCCATCGAGGGAAAAACATAATCTTTTATTTCAGTTTTTTATGGAATATGAAAGAACATAATTTGCCTTAAAGGAACAGCTTGGTTTTGCATCATATTATCTTTCTTTCTTTCTTTCTCTCTGTGTTTCCTTCCTTCCCTTCTCTTTCTTTCTTTCTTTCTTTCTTTCTTTCTTTCTTTCTTTCTTTCTTTCTTTCTTTCTTTCTTTCTTCTTTCTTCTTTTTTTTCTTTCCCTTTCTTTCTTTTTCTTTCCCTTTCTTTCTCTTCTTTCTTTCTTTCCGAAAACATTGCTGTAAAGACCAGTAAATAAGGGAGAAAACTAAATGTCTCCTTTTCTGATTGTACTGTTTTGTACCGTCAATGTTCATATTTTTTTATTTCTGCCTTTGTACCCTGAATGTGTAAGATGATTGCTGGTGAGACTTGTAAAACAATTATATAGCAGACCTGGGTTGCATTCTTGTGACATGTTAATGCTGTTTGCTTTGACTGGAAACAAATGGGAATTGTGTGATCTCCTCTATTCTTTTGTCGGCAGTTAAGAGTATTGGATTGTCAAATCATAGACTGTGTCCACCTTGCATATTTCAACCTGTCTTTTGGTTGGGGCGGGGGGAACCAAGAGATGGTCTGAAGAATGTCAAGTCTAAAAAAAAAAAGAGAGACAACTTATGGGAACTCTCAGCCATCTTCAGGAATTTAGAGGGAAGCTACAGGGAAAATGACCAATAAATATTTTACAACGGAAAGTAGGACTAAAAATGACCAATATGCATTTAGCTACCTAGATGTCATTTAAATGTTAGAAAAACTCCCGTCGTAGTCTACTGCACAAGTTGTGAGTTCTGAAAACCTTTAAGAAGCTAGGCAGCGACTTCTTGATGATTGTCTGATTAACAGAATAACAGAGTTGGAAGGGAACTTGGAGGTCTTGTAGTCCCTGCTCAAGGAGGAGACCTTATATATCATGTCAGACAAGTGACTGTCCAGACCAGGAGTCCCCAAACTTGGCAACTTTAAGACTTGTGGACTTCAACTCCCAGAATTCTGGGAGTTGAAGTCCACAAGTCTTAAAGTTGCCAAGTTTGGGGACCTGATCCAGACTCTTCTTGAAAGCCTCCAGTGATGGAGAATCCACAACTTCTGAAGGCAAGATCAATTGTTCTCACTTTCAAGAAATTTCTCCTTAGTTCTAGGTTGCTTCTCGCCTTGATTAGTTAATCCTCCTGCATATTGGAGAGAATAGTACTAGATGTTCCTTGTGATCCCTTCCATCTCCACAGTTACATGATCTTACATTGCATCCTTTTTCTCCCCCTAGATGTAATGACCTTTCAGAATGAGCCAAGAGGATGCCAAGAGATTCAACAGTTGAATCTCTTCCCTACTGCATAGTACATTGTGTGCTAGGGGTGGGAGGGTGCATATTGGGAAAACAGGTAGAAACCTTGCATGCATGTCTGTCCAGAACCCGGCTCCTATGTTCTTCCTAACCCTTTTCGCCTCAGGACAGCCAGCGTTCAGATGAATAACTCATTGTGTGTCCAGGGACAAGGAATTATATGACCATCAGATTCCTGGAGGGTCTGCTAAGAAAGAGAAGGTATTTTGACCCATGTCTCTGATGATAGGGCGGTGGGGTGGCTCAGTGGTTAAGAGGCTGGGCTTGTTGGCTAGAAAGCGGGCAGCCTGCGTTTGAGACCTGAGCACCACACGATGGGGTTGAGCCCCCATCCTCACTCCAGCTCCTGCCCACCTAGCAGTTTGAAAGCTTGCAAATGTGAGTAGATAAATAGGTACCCCTTTGGTGGGAAGATAACAGCACTCTGTGAATCCTGCTGGCCATATGCATGTGAATTGTGTTGGCTCAATGGCCGTGAAACGGACATGAGCACTGCCCCTTAAAGTCGGCAATAACTAGTGGAGTAAAAATGCACAGCGACTCATCTATGGAGACTCTCATTCCTCCAGATCATGGTTGTCCCCAAAGATGCATTTTTCAAAAGGTCACTGGACTTTCCTGGTTTTTCTTTGAAGACATTTCGCTGAAGAAGCTGCTTGGATGAGAAGCGAAACGTCTTCAAAGAAAAGCCAGGAAAGTTCAGTTGCCTCTCGCAAAAGCACCTTTTGGGGACTCCTTTACCTCTGATTATTATAAGAGGGATGAGTTTAGTTTAGCTTAGTTTAGTTGTTTATTGTCATTACATCATGCACAACAAAATCAAACACCATCTTCAGTGCACATCATGGCCACTGATATTGCATTAATATTGCACTACTATACAGTAGAATTCAACAGAGCTACTGCCCTGGGATAGAAGCTGCTTTTCAGCCTATTTTGTCCTTGTTTTTATTATGATCCTGTACCGTCTGCCAGATGGTAATAGTTCAAAAAAAGGGCGCCCAGGATAAGATGGATCCTTGAGGATGTTTGTGAACTTTCTTAAGGAAGCGGGAGCTATAAAGCTCTTCCAAAGAGGGGAGAGGGCAACCAGTGATCCTCTGGGCAATGACATTAACCCTCTGGAGCGCTGTCCTATCTGCCACTGTGCAATTGGCAAGCCCTACACAGGGGCAGTAAGTTAGGATTATGGTGCAGCAGTAGAAGGTCACCAGCAGTTTTTCATTCAGTTATTGTTTTCTGAGAAGTCTCAGGTAATGTAATCTCTGCTGGGCCCCTTTGACCAGGGCTGCAATGTGAGAAAGGTTGTGGGGCAGCGTCCTTTCCCATCTCTGCAGCCCCACAGCCATCCTGTGATTCTTCGGCTTTCAGCTCAAGATGCTTTCTAACCATATGAGCGTATGGAATTGTGCTCGTTGACCTACATCTATTTCCCACACGCTCGCGAGCTAAAAAGCACATTAGTGTGTTGTTATAGTGACAAAACCAGCTGCAGTTCCTGGAACCCTACGGAGGTGTCCTTAATCTCGCCGTTCGGGGAGGATTTCTTGGTTGTTCTCAGCCTATTAGCTGAGGCTTAGGCGTATATCTGGATGGCATCTCATGGCTTGCCTACTTCATCCAAGTCAACGGAGAGCAGTCCAGACATGGCAGTTTCTTCCAGGAGAAAAATGATGAAAGCAATTCCCAATACGGGCAAATCCTTAGGACAGGTAGTCCTCAACTTACAATAGTTCATTTAGTGACCATTCAAAGTTACAACAGCACTGACAAAAGTGACTTATGGCCATTTTTCATACTTGCGACCGTTGTAGCATCCCCATAAATCCAGATTCTTGGCAACTGGCTTATGACGATTGCCGCATCCCTGTGGGATCACATGATCCAAATTCAGTTGCTTGGCACCTGGTTCATATTTATGACGGTTGGAAGGCCCCTGGGAGGTCATGTGATCCCCTTTTGCGACCTTCTGACGACCAGCCTCATCCACGGGGAAGCCAGATTCACTTAACAACTTCACAAGTGCAGGGATTCGCTTAAGAAATGTGGCAAGAAAAGTCATAAGATGGGGCAAATCCCGCTTAACAACTGTCTCAATAACAGAAATGTCAGGCTCAGTTATGGTCGTAAGGCGAGGACTACCCTGTATAAATCGAATAGTTCCCTCTTTCTGTTTGTGGGAAGGTTTCGTGTGTAGCTTTTGGGGTGCTTGGACAAGTCTTGAAAATCTATTGCATCTAGGAGGTGATATTTGGGCTGTAAGAATCCAGATGTTTACTAGAAGACCACGAAGAGAGACGCAACGTTCATTGGAAACGCCATTCGAGGAGATTGCAAAGCGCCAGGATTAAAATCAGATTTTTTCCCCCCACTTTCCTGTCCTCCCCCTCCCAAGCACATTGTTATCAGACTCCTTGACAACAGTTGTCATAGCAATCCTGCCTTTTTTCTTCTT